CACCGATTACGAGCTTAAATCAGGCACATCCATGGCTGCACCACATGCTGCTGGAATTGCAGCAATGCTAAAAGGCGCACATCCTGAATGGAGCCCTTCAGCTATTCGCTCCGCAATGATGACCACAGCAAACCATTTGGATAATACTCAAAAACCTATTAGAGAGGACGATGGCATGGTAGCCACGCCCCTAGACATGGGAGCAGGGCACGTTGATCCGAACAGAGCTCTTGATCCCGGCCTAGTATATGATGCTACTCCACAAGATTACATAAATCTTATATGCTCAATGAATTTTACAGAAGAGCAATTTAAAACTTTTGCAAGATCGTCAGCCAATTACCACAAGTGCTCAAATCCATCTGCTGATCTCAATTATCCATCATTCATTGCCTTGTACCCGTTCAGTCTCGAGGGCAAGTTCACCTGGTTGAAGCAGAAATTCAGGAGGACCCTTGCAAATGTTGGAAAAGGCGGAGCAACTTATAAAGTAAAAGAAACTCCAAAGAATTCCACAGTTTTAGTGTCTCCAAAAACTTTGGTGTTCAAGAAGAAAAATGAGAAGAAAAGCTATACTTTGACAATTCGGTATAGAGGTGACGAGAATCAGAGTCATCATGTTGGGTCTGTTGAAGAGAACGGTAACCACTCTGTTACGAGTCCTATAGTCACATCTACCATTATTGAGGTCTGGGGTAGTGATGACTAGGACCATCACTTGCACAGGTGGATCTAGGATTTGAGCTCTATGGATTCAACCTTGAAGTTTTTCTTTTCATTGAACCTATTGTATTTCTAAAATTATAGTAGGTTCATATCTACTATTTAATTTGTTGCAAATTTAGTTGATTTTTATACATAATTTTATGCTTCGCATTGAAAGTACTTGGTTCAGATGAATCATGTACCGTCATGCTAGATCCGCCTCTGTCAGATTATGTATATTGAATGAAAGAGTTCTTGTCCTATCCATAAGACATTGGAATAAATCATGTATGCGCTATAAGCTACTTTAAGCGTTGAAACGCCCCAACATTACTGATTTTATCCCTAAGAACTTTGGTCAAATAAAGAAAGGTGTTACAAGAAAAGTCAACAACGTTAATACACACAAAATTTTTCCAGAAAACAGGTTAGATAAACATATATGTTTATTCCAATGTCCTACCCAAAAGACAATGGAACAAATTTACAAGTCAATGCAGCAATTTTCCGACCATATGAACCCTTGCTTGCAGTGTGTTGAAAAACATTTTAAGAAAGGATAGTTAGCAGAACCCAAGTCAATGGAGAGGTCGAAGGCTAAGGTCGCCACGAACAACTTAATATTTGTTGCAATATAAATACCTGTAGGGTTTTCTACGTTTTTGGAGACACTGAAACATACGTAGGGTTTTCTTTATTTTCTTCTATTCAATGTGTAATTATCATAGGAGATCATTTTCTCCCAAATAAATATTTTTTATTGGATTCATACAATTTCTATTAGTTGGTGATGTAACAGTAACTATATTATCATCCTTTGATTGAAAATAAAAAAAGGAGTAAGGTTAAAGAACTTTTTTATTTTTTATTTTAATCTTACCTTATTTTTAACTACTTCGTAATAAAAAGAGAAATGTGCAATTCTCCCAAAAATCTATACTATATTAAGAGTATGAAGTCCCTTAGCAAAATGTCGTTCGCCTTTTTTACCTTTAAAAACTGATTTAACATTGGACAAAATAGTCATTTAATTATTTTCCTAATATTTAGGATTTCAAATAAACTAAAATTTTGTTTTATATATCTTTCCTTATTAAAATTATGTAGGAAATCTTGTTTAGGACTTTAAAATTAATTAAAAGTTCCCTTATATAAATCTTTTTCTTATTTAAAGCTATTTTCTTTTAATTTGATGCTTACACGTTTTCAAGTTTTCAAACTGAATCATTACGAGAGCTCTATTTTCAAGCTTTTGTCTTTTATTAATTTATATATAATCTTTCTTAAACTCATATTATACAGAAATAAGTTTAAAATAAATATATGAACCATAATCATGTAAAACTAATAAGAACCCACTTTCCTCCGAATACATGTAAATCTGAATAACTAAAGCTAATACAAATATTTAAATTATTTCACAAATCATAAAATATAAGAAAATAAAAATGAAATAAAAATATTGTATTATATAAACTCTTCTGCAATTAAATTATATCACGTAATTCTAATTAATTTCATAATACTTTTCCTAATAAAGGATTTTGAAATGGGAGTGTTAATGCTATATTTAATTGCATCGGTAAGTTCCCCTCACTATTTAACCATGAATCATTATTTTACATAATATGTAAGAATAATTAGTATGAATCCGCTAGCAACGATATATTTGCAGATCTTCAAATTCATGTTTGGAGGAAGTAATGTTTTTCTATATTTTTTTCTCGTGTAATATACGAGCTTCAAGTTATTTGAACTTAGATATAATTAGTATAAAAATTACCAAGAATATGTTCAGCAACCGCATAAATCCATCAGGTAAATTAATAAATCAAGAATATTTGATCACGCCCAATTCTAGTCCTAAAAAGGATAAGCGGTCGCTGCAAATATAATCCGGTCTAAAAGTCCGGAGTCGAATCCCACAGAGAACTAAGGCTTAGTTGTATCTGTTTAATATCACCAAGAAGACAAGATTAAAAATAAATAAATAGCTGAAAACTAACTGTGCTTGAATTGTAAACAATTGGAATAAAGGTCTAAGGTAATGGTTTCCCCCGTTGGTAATTTCCTTGGTTGTATATGTCTTATAACTATAATTTAGTTGTCTCTATCAATCATGAACGCTCCAGCTATCATAAATCTTTCTCAAGCAATTATGATAATTTACTAGACGCACTCTCTCAAGCTACGCTAGCTAGATTCACAATATGGTTCACTTAGATTGCACCCGAGGTATCGTTATCTCTAACCCAACCTCTAAACCCTCGGTTATGACTCTCGTCTATACTCCGGGAGTGATGTTGTTCATACAATCACCTAAATATGCACTCTCTCTCAAGTAGAAACATAATAGATAGGAATGGATAATTGAGGGCCCTTTCAACTAACCACAATCAAAATATAGATGAACAAATAGAGATTAACAACCAAATCCAACTATATTAATAAAACAACCAAGTCATCCCCAACGGGTTCCACCAAAACCTTAGATTAAGGTATTTAGCTACTCATAACAATGGAGGAATAAACTACTAGAAGATTCATA